ATCTTCTTACATCTCAGGCTGGTTTCGTGGGTGCTCAGAGTGGTCTGGTAGATATCCAGCTCAATTCCAGGGACCAGTTGAAGTAGGGTCCCCTACTCCTCCGCCATCTTTCCCCCTTCTGAATGTCACTTCTAAGCAGAAACTACACAGAAAGATCTTGTAACAATGGGCCAGTTTCTTCTATTCACTCAGCAAACACTGATGGAGGACCCCTGATGCACCCAATTCTGGGCCCAAAACACTTATGGATTTTAACTCCTTCAATTCCCACAGCTGTCCAGGCAAATGAGTAAGGGAAAATAGAGAAGTTGAGGTTATGTGGAAAGTTGTTAATGCTTACAGTGTAACAATGAAGTTAAATTTTAACAAGGTCTGAGTCAAGTAGAAAGCTTGCCTCCCTTTAATCCCCTGTACAAACTGGGATTTTAGCCAAACTGCCTCAGTTGCTATCTCATGGTCACCTTGCTCTTCTGGGTCTCTGCTCCCTGATTTTTCCTTTCCCTGGAATGGTGACTCCCACCTTCCTCCCACATCGCCCTATATCTCTAGTCTACTTATCAAAACCATACACATTCTGCAAGGCTTACATCTTCCCTACTCAGAACTCCCACAGCACTCAGGGTCTTACTAGACGTATTAAAATACGCTACTTAGGAACTATCTTAGCTTCCCTACTAGAGCATAAAATCCTAGACTACAGCAGTCTCCCTTATTATCTTTGTATACCTCAAAACTCAAGTTGTATCATTTAATACATTTTGATTTAGAGCATGAATGCAGAAGTGATTAGTCACTTAAATCAATACCACAATAAGAGATCTGGATGGCTTTTCTGAAGATATTTTAAAGTACAAAAGCTAAAGGAATTGACCCAGACACTTACCCTCATGTTCCTTCCAGAGACTCCTCAGAAGGGAGAGGCCCACTTATTTTTAGTGCCATACAAAGCACTAAACCTCGTAAATAATTCCTGGGAGCCAGTGTGGGCTGGAGGATGAGCTTGGCTCCTGAGTCACACAGACCAAGGTCTCCAGCCTGGTTCTCCCGCTTACTGGTTGCATGACCCCGCAGATCTTAATTACCTAAATTAAAGCTCTAGTTTCCTCATTGGCAGGATGAGGCTCCTCACCTTTTTTTGTTTTCTACCTAATCTTGGGCTATAAGAATGAGATGTGTGTGTGAGAAGCATCGAGGAGAGCCGTGCATGGAAGGAACTATACGTCAGCCCCTCTTCTCCCACTCCCTGCCTTGTGCAACAGGGTACTTTTTTATTTTTATTTACTTATTTATTTTTCCACGTTTTTATTTAAATTCAAGTTAGTTAACATATAGTGTAGTATTGGTTTCAGGAGTAGAATTTAATGATTCATCAGTTGCATATAACACCTGGTGCTCACCACATCACATGCACTCCTTAATGCCCATCACCCAGTTACCCCATCCCTCCACTCCCCTCCCCTCCAGCAACCCGCAGTTTGTTCCCTACAGTTAAAAGTCTCTTATGGTTTGCCTCCCTCTCTGTTTTTATCTTATTTTATTTTCCCTTCCCTTCTCCTATGTTCATCAGTTTTGTTTCTTTAATTCCACATATCAGTGAAATCATATGATAATTGTCTCTCTGATTGATTGACTTATTTCGCTTAGCATAATACCCTCTAGGTCCATCCATGTCATTGCAAAAGGCAAGATTTCATCTCTTTTTGATGGCTGAGTAATATTCTGTTTTATATATATATATATATATATATATATATATATATCTCACATCTTGTTTATCTACTCATCAGTCAGTGGACACTTGGGCTCTTTCCATAGTTTGGCTATTGTTGATAATGTTGCTGTAAACATCGGGGTGCAGGTCTCTGTTCAAATCTGTATCTTTGTATCCTTTGGGTAAATAAGCAGGGTACTTTTTAAATTGCCAATTATTTTTGAAGGTAACAAAATATTCTGATAATAATGGTTTTTAACAGCTGCCTGTAGCCCATATGGGCCCTATCTGCCAACTTTGGCCATGGGTTTACCTTTTGGGTTTCGGTTCACCACAACCAAGGGCAGGAAGAGCCATGCCAGGACCCCTGCTCAGTCCTCAGCACCCCATGTCTGCACTTGTCAATGTGCAGGACCTCAGTTCATCACACAGTTGTGTGCAGTCTGCATATTCCACCCCTTAAAGGACCACTGAAAGTCACTGATCAGACTCCAGCAAGCTTCCCTTTTTCTTCTTCCTCTTCATAAAATTATGGTAAAAAAAAAAAATTATAGTGATTCCTGAGCTTAGTAACCAAATTCCCGCCCTTGCTAAATGATTGCCTGAATTTGGTTTGGATGCCTTGGAATGCAAGAAGGTGATCTGCGATGGTGTGAGGTAGTCATGTCATGGAACATGGAGAAGCATTTGTCACCTGGTCCTATTCAGTTGTACTGTTCTCCACTGTGTCTCCAGCTTGTGCCAAATCCTGAAGATGGCCAAAGATGACTCGACCATTCGTTGCTTCCAGGGCCTGCTGATTTTTGGAAATGTGATTGTTGGTGTAAGTAACGAGTATTTTTCAGGAAATTCTGTTCCTTCTGTAATCACAGCTTTTGGATTAATCAAAAGTGAGAGTTTAAAGGAAAATAATGATATAATTACTGGCTTCCTCTCCCTTTTCTTCATTCCAGGAAATGTGTTAGTAAAATATGTTAGCTAGAACTTATATAAATAATCATATATAACTATGCAATATGTTGAAAGACCATGGTTTAAAAAAAAAAGGATATTTCCCTCCCAACTTTAAAACACAAAAATCTGAAAGAAGCCATGTCCACCATGGTCAATGTCCAAACATTCCCACCACACACACACTTTGGTGTATCTTTCCTATTTCACCTTGGTTTGAGCTCCATGGAACTGTTCTGTTAAGGCTGTTGGGGACAGATGTTTGCGTTTACATGTCCTTATCACGTGGAGGCCAGTGCCGGGAAAGTCAGAGTGGCTTGGAGTCCAGGCTGTGTGGGCTCAGTGTGCTGACAGCGCACTCAAGAGTCAGGATCGCTAGCTCTAGGCTCAGCCCCACCACCAACTGTACTCTGGACAAGTCATCGGCTTTCAAGGTCAAGAGCCCTCGTCTATAAAATGCAGAGTGTGGGAAAGATAACCACCAAGGTTCCTTGGTTCTCTGGCACTGATGAGTATGACCAGGACTAGTTCAAATACTATAATCCAGGAATTTGGGCAGAGGGCAGTGGAAGTGGGAGGTTATCCCCATACAAGAAGATATTGTTGAGTGGTTCATGCCCCAACGACTCTAGATGGTCTAAAATTGCCTGGGTCTTTTCCCAAATAGCAATAAGACAGAGTGACATGCGGGAGGAAGCATACAACTTATTAATAGGATGGATGGAGCTGTTTGATTTCCTGGTAATGAGTTTAGGTCCATGGCTTTGACCCTATGCAGGGACGGAGTGAGTCTCTCTCATAACCCCCTCCCCACTGTTCTGCATCCCTTTCCCAATGCTGCTCTCCTGACCACCGGCCTGATAGAACGCCCTCTCCCCCAGATGTGTGGCATCGCCCTGACCGCAGAGTGCATCTTCTTCGTATCTGACCAGCACAGCCTCTACGCGCTGCTTGAAGCCACTGACAATGATGACATCTATGGGGCCGCCTGGATTGGAATGTTTGTCGGCATCTGCCTCTTCTGCCTGTCCGTTCTAGGCATTGTAGGCATCATGAAATCCAACAGGAAAACTCTTCTGGCGGTGAGACCTTAAAACTCTCCACAGTTGCCTCCTGGATCAATTTCGATGGACTGTTTCTTCCTCCCTGAGCACAGTGATTTGGCTTGTAGTGGGGTAGGTGGGAGCAGAGAGCCAGGGGAGGAGTGACAAGGAGGCTGAGACTCTCCCTACGGTGAAGCTTGTCCATGTGGGGGCAAGGATGTCCTCCACTATTGCAAGTCCAGAAGATTCCAGTGTAGAGAACCCACAGGGGAGAAACCTGGGGGTGACCCTGGAGCACTCTCCAGCTCTGTGCTTCTCTACCTGGTGTCTGCACACATCCAGCAGGTTCAACCAGGAGCTACATAGGCCAAAGAAGAGACAGAGTGAGAACATGATCATTAGATTTTGTTCTCTTGACAATAAGTAGTCTAAAGCATTATTTTAATATTAATCAGTCGTTGACATTTTAGGATATAAAATACAAAATATGCACGAATTTTTAAGAGAAAACATGATCTTTTTCTGACATTTTTGAGCTCAAGGCCAATGATTTTGTATAAAGACCTGCATTTCCCATATTTTGCATTCATTCTGCTCTTCAGGGACCCTAGAAAACCTTGATGCACAGCACTAGAGAGGATAGAGGACAGCTTCAGCTCCCACGTGCCTGTGGATCTCGAACGCCATGCATGCACAGAGAGGCTTCTGTCCTGAGCCACAGACAGCAAGGTCACGCCCTGCCTTTGTAGATGGAAGCAGACTTGCAACCAGCAGAGCTAAGAACCCTTGGTATTGGACCTAGACCTCTATTCTCTGCCCCCATGCTTAGGACAATAGTTTCTCACATGGTGATGGCGTCCCACCCCCACTCCCCACCCTAAAATAACTCTCCTACCCAAATGCTGCAGGACCTGAGTTACATCTTATGGAACAAGCCCAGCAACTTAAGATGCTTGTTGGTTTACTTTTCCCGTGATCTAAACATTGTCCCGGCACCCAGAGAATGCAGAACATTTACATTCCCTGATTCCTTTAGCATGAGTTGGTTCCAGGGCAAAAGCACCCACTTCTTCAACTGGAGAAACGAATGCAGGGAAAGGGAGAGGAGGGGCAGGTGTCCCCAGAGACAAGTTTCACCTGCATCCTGGTCTCATTTTGGGCCAGCCACGTGTGCCTGACGCAGCCAGGAGGGAACATTCTTCACCATGTCTGCAAAGGGAAGGAGCAAGGCACCTTCTCAGGGGCTGATGGAGAAAACCCCTGTACCCCAGGCCTCCTTTCTGGAGTGTCTTTAAGGGGTTTCCGAGCCCCTTTAAGAAGAACCATCAACGCTCTTTTTTTTTTTCCTTTTAAGGATTTTATTTTTAAGTAATTTCTACACCCAATGTGGGGCTCGAACTCACAACCCCGAGATCAAGAGTCACATGCTCTATGGATTGAGCCAGCCACGTGCCCCCAACCACCAAAGCTCTTGACAAAAAACAAGGCAGCAAATGTTATGAGGCCTCTGATGGTGCTCCTGCTACTGACTCCCCAGCCAAAGCCCTTCTGTGAGCAGTAGCTGAGTCGTTAGGGCAGCCCAGGGTCCTGCTCAGAGAGCTGTCCCTGCCCAGGAAGAGAACACAGTTTTCCTTGCCTTCCCCCACCTACACTGACTGCAGCGCCCCTTCCCTAGAAGAACGCAGGGACCCAAAGCAAACATGCAAGACTGAGGAAAGCGAAGACAGACCCTCACAAATAGTTCCCATCCCAGATTCAGAGGCAACTTGCTGTTCAGATATTTCTCAGTCATAAATAGAGGCAGTGTGGTGGGGAGGCATCATGCGAAAGTGTGTGTGCCCATGTGCGAGCGTGAACACACAGACACACAAGGGCAACACACAGTGAGGTGTGTTCCGCTCGCCTGACCCATACCTGCAGGGCTGGGGGCTGAGAGAAGAGTGCCGGCGAAGGGCTGTGTACCTGGAGGCTGCCCGCTCCTTTCTGGTGAGACTGGACCCTTGTCAGGACAGACGATGGATGTTAAACACGATCCGGTTCATCTTCTTCTGACCTCTGTAATTCTAAAGTTTCAATAACCCATAAAGAAAATTTCTCTCACCGAGAGGGGATTTATAAAGCTCTATATAGTGTCTGATCCCCCAAGACTCTCTCGCCAGCCATTGAATGAATAAACACACGCACTCACACAGACACGCGTGCACACGCATGCACACGCATGCATGCACACATCAGTTCATTCTCTTGTGTTTGTTTTGCTCAGTTAAAATAGAAATGTAGGGTACTGGGCTGAGAAAGCTCTGTATTCAGTAGTCATTTGTTCTCTGGGGCTAAGGAGGGAATTGAGCTGATTAGCACCTAGCACCAAGTCTTGCTCCAAACAGCTGATCAATGAGGGTTTGTTGAATAACTTCATTAATGATTAGATGGTTTTACTTAGATGAATATGCTGAAAGAATATGACAATTATTTTTTTTAATTCTCTCTTTTTTGGAGATAAATGTAATTCCTTTTTTCCCCATTTGTTTCCCTTCCAGTATTTCATTCTGATGTTTATAGTATATGGCTTTGAAGTGGCGTCTTGTATCACAGCAGCAACACAACGAGACTTTGTGAGTACAATCACAAAAAGCACAGAGCGAAAATGACCATAGGAATCTTCATTATCATCGTAACAATACAATAGCTGACATGTATTAAGCTTACTCTGTACGAGGCACTCCAATATGTGCATTAATATTAAATATACAAGTTTACTTAATCCTCATAATAACTTTATATGTATTATCACAATGGTCACTTTATAGATAAAGAAATGAGATTTAAAAAGGTGAAGTAACTTGTCCAAGTTTACACAGCTGGTAAGTGAAAGAGGAGAATCCTGAGTCCAGGCCGAGCAACTCCTGGGGCCCAAGCTAATACTGCTATGCTCTTCACACTAGGCCGTGGCCACCAGCCCTCCCGTAGGATGATCAATAATCCACCACATCTAAGATTTCCTCTCAATTCAACATCCTGCTTTCTCTCCTTTTCTCCACTTCCTAGCCTAAGCCACCCTAAAATGCCTGCCCACCTGGTCTCACTGCGATTTCTTTGAAGATGGGGGTGGGGGGTATCTTCTCCCTTCATGGGGACTTCAGCCATCCAGCCTCACACCCACCCCACCCCTTCTCGTGGCCTCTGCAAAGTTTTACTCCAGGAGACGATGTTGAGTGCCCCTAGCAATAGGCTGAGCAAATCATTTTGCTTCCTTGGGGATGAGCGTGCTAACTCTCCTTTTGTTGTCTCCTCCCACCATAGCTCACACCCAACCTCTTCCTGAAGCAGATGCTGGAGAGGTACCAAAACAATAGCCCTCCAAACAATGATGACCAATGGAAAAATAATGGAGTCACCAAGACCTGGGACAGACTCATGCTCCAGGTAATGCCTGCAGTTTTGGCATTCTGTGCCTAAACCAGTATCCAGGAGTGAAGGTATGGATGGGACTGAAGTCAAAGAGTGGGGACCACGGCCTCTAGGACGGTTTCATTCAAAAAGAGACTGGACTGGGGCGCCCGGGTGGCTTAGTTGGTTAAGTGTCTGACTCTTGATTTCAGCTCAGGTCATGATCTCAAGGTCGTGAGATAGAGCCCTGCATCGGGCTGGTCATGGAGCCTGCTTAAAATTCTCTCTCCCTCTCCCTCTGCCCCACTCCTGCTCACAGAGGCTTTCTCTCTCTCTCAAAAAAAAAAAAAGGAAAAAAGAAAAGAAAAAGAGACTGGACATAGGCAAGTTCATTTATTCTTCTTATCTATTCCTCTTGTGTGCACATCACTCAGTGGAACCCATAAATCTATATTTTATTTCTGAGCCATGATGTTGATTAATTTCCATTTAGGGATAATGACATTGATAAGAAATTGAGATCAATCACACACACTGCCTCCTAGAACTCAAGCATCACTTACACTGAAAGAACAAGTTTGCTTCCTCCACATCACAGTGAACTCAAGTGGCAAATATTGCCTATTTTGCTTATTTAGTACCGACGGGCTAATCCTGCCAAGGACCATGGGCTATGACCTGACTTGATTGCCCACTTGTCTGTAACTGGCCATCATACCTTATATGCAAGTTTACCTTAAATATCATCAAAAATCCAAGTCTTTCAGAATATCCACTATTACCCCTACATTGCCTTGTGTATGTGAAAGTCTATCCCTACGTAAGCCCTAATCTGACCCAACTCTCACACTGCCCCCTGCCTCCCTCCCCCTCCACTGGCTCACAGTGCATCATCAGCCAACTCCCTTGGCCTTGGCCCCCTTCTTGATGTCTCTTTACCCTCTATCCTCTAGCACTTCCTTCATTTATCTAAATATTCCCATTCCAACCATTCTTTTTACCCCATTAGGACCTCCAATTCACTGGCCACTTTTTTACTTTCTGTCACTCTTCTGACTATAGGTCATGTACTTTTTCCACTCTCTTAGCAAGAACTAAGCTCTTCAAATGAAAATGCAAATGGCCACACATCTGAAAAATCTTCTTACCAACTTTTAAAAACCCAGTCTGAACTTAACCATTTTCCCCCAAAGAGGCTCAGATCAAAATATAGGATAATTATTTTCCTTCACAAGGTATTTTCCATAATCCAGTGACAAAATAGGATATGCTTTAAAGACAGCTAATTTGGGGCACCTAGGTGGCTCAGTGGGTTAAGCATCTGCCTTCAGCTCAGGTCATGATTCCAGGGTCCTGGGATCAAGCCCCCGTGTTGGGCTCCCTCCACGGCAGGGAGTCTGCTTCTCCCTCTGCCCCTCACCCTGCTTGTGCTCTCTCTCCTTCTCTCTCTCTCAAATAAAAGACAGCTGATTTACCATCAAGTTTGTTTGAAAGTTAATTCATTCTGAAAGTTGAGAGGGGTCTATAGTTTTATTTTTTTTTAAGATTTTATTTATTTGCGAGAGAGAGAATGAGAGACAGAGAGCATGAGAGGGAGGAGGGTCAGAGGGAGAAGCAGACTCCCTGCTGAGCAGGGAGCCCGATGCGGGACTCGATCCCAGGACTCCAGGATCATGACCTGAGCCGAAGGCAGTCGTTTAACCAAATGAGCCACCCAGGTGCCCGGGTCTATAGTTTTAATTTCTTCCCTTGAAACATTTTAGCAGAATTTCTACAAAGGAAGGAAAGTGATATGAAATATGTTTTATCCTCTATCCTCTACTCTATCCAGAGTGTGAGGATATTACCTATGTGTTCCTTGATCTTCCTCTCTTATGTAGGGGCAGAGCTGTGTGCCACTAGGTTTGGGTTATTTTTTTCCAGTTTACTCTAGAAAATGTTAAAAGTACAGAAATGTAAAATAAGAAGAATTACTCATTACTTCGTCACTACTAAAAATTTTAGTTTTCTGACTCTCAATTTGCTCATATGTCATATGAGAATAATCATACCTCCCTCACATTGCTGTATCAAGATATTAGTATTAATAATAATTAAGGGTTTACTGGGGCGCCTGGGTGGCTCAGTCGGTTAATCGTCTGCCTTCGGCTCAGGTCATGATCCCAGGATCCTGGGATCGAGCCCCACATCGGACTCCCTGTTCAGCGGGGAGTCTGCTTCTCCCTCTGCCCCTCACCCCGCTCATGTTCTCTCTTTCTCTCACTTTCCCTCACTCTCTCAAATAAATAAATAAAGTCTTTAAAAAATAATAATAATAATTAAGGGTTTACTATGGGCGAGGCAGTGTACTAGACAGGTCAGGCACATTAGCTCGTTTAATCCTCACAGGAACTCTGAGGACCATGGACTGCGTGAAGGAAACAAGGCCATATTTTACAGTGAAGGAAGATGAGGCATAGTAGGGAGTTGAACTCATCAGAGCTCATTAGTGGCTAATAGAGTAACAAATGTTCGGGCGCCTGGGTGGCTCAGTTGGTTAAGCGACTGCCTTCGGCTCAGGTCATGATCCTGGAGTCCCGGGATCGAGTCCCGCATCGGGCTCCCTGCTCGGCAGGGAGTCTGCTTCTCCCTCTGACCCTCCTCCCTCTCATGCTCTCTGTCTCTCATTCTCTCTCTCTCAAATAAATAGATAAAATCTTTAAAAAAAACAAACAAATGTTGAAGTATTTTGTAAGCTCTAAAATGTAGGTTATCGATACCCTCAGCTCTCATTTGGGGAATTCTAGTAAACGTAAGATATGGTATACTTTCCATATCTTCTTTCTCCACAAAATCTCAGTTGCTACATCCATGGCTCTAGCAAGGAGCATGGAAGAGAATTTTGTATCTGTCCTCTGCTGGCAGGACCATTGCTGTGGTGTAAATGGTCCATCAGACTGGCAGAAATATACGTCTGCCTTCCGGACTGAGAATAATGATGCCGACTATCCCTGGCCTCGCCAGTGCTGTGTGGTGAACAATCTTAAAGAACCTCTCAACCTGGAGGCCTGCAAACTAGGAGTGCCTGGTTACTATCACAAGCAGGTGAGTCCTCTCTGTCCAATACCTGCTCTTTATGAGGGAAATACTGATTAACTATAGGTAATAATCTCTCATGAAGAATTCTGCATCCTTTTTCCCTAAACCTTATGTCAACTATTTCCTTCTCTGTCAGTAAAATGCAGATGCTAATCTAGGGCTCTTCTGGGGAAATCTACCTTTTAATAAAATCAACAGAACATGAGAATTGCAATAGCAAAGTCCAACTTTGCTTAAATGCAAACTATTTGTACAATAGAATATAGGCTTGGTATTTCAAAAACTATTTCCATTAAATGAAGATTTATTCTGTTTTTGCAAACTGTAAATTGGAAGGGGTATGTACAAAAAGCGTGTTTCGCTAGTGCCAAAGCAGTGGCAAGTGCTGACAGTAAATGCAGCAATTATATAACCACCTTCATTATTCAGTGGTAATATAGGATGGTCTTAAAAGAATATTAAGTTGATGATTTGGGTAGAAGGCAGTTTACATACAGATGGTTTTTGAGAAAGTGTTTCCAGCCTGATGAGAATGATATAATGATCCTGAAAACTAGCATTTATTGAGTACTTACTTAAAGCTAGATACCGTTCCAAGTGCCATACATATATTAACTCATTTAGGGCTCAACGGTAGGTGCCAGTATGATTCTTATTTTATGGACGAGGAACTGAGACATAGAGGTGTAAGAAGTACCTTGTTCAAGGTCCCTCAGCTAGTAATTGGTTGAGTCAGGATTCAAACCCAAGCAACCTGGCTCCAGAGCCCAGACTTAAGGACAAGAAAGAACTTGGAAATATTCCCCAAAAGCCTGCAGAGAATTCTCCTATACTTGTAGTCAGCCTCCGAAATGCTTCTACTGCTTTGCGAGTTACCACTTTGAGGGAAGCTGGTTGTGTCCCAGTTCAGTAAATATTAAGAAATGTCAGACTCCTTTAGTCTGGGAGTAAATAATACAAAGCGCTCCTTCAAAATGAAGGACACCGAACAGCTGATCATCATGCCATACCTGGAAGGGTGCCTGGACTAAGATCGGTTGCCTTCATCCAGAAAAGGGCATGGGAGTGCTGCAGACGATTTTTCAGAGTCCTTCAAAGCAACCCTTATTTAGCTTTTTGGCAATGTTGTTTTGGTGTCCTTTTAACCAGTTACTTTCAGACTGCTCTAAAAATTAAATGTATTTCTTATCAGCACAATATGCAGTATAATGCTCACTAGCAGGAATAATCAATGCTTTCAGTATTTCAACCCTGGCATGGCCCCACACAAACGTATCTTGATTGGATTGGATTGTATCTCTGTAAAAGGGACAGAAAAAGGTATTTGCCCTGAGATAATCAGCTGATCTCCCAAGGACATGTAATGTGTCTAGTAGCAAGGGACCTCCCCGTGAGTTTGGATAACCCTTCCCACCTCCTCCCTTGAGGTTCCTTGGCCTCACCTGTCCTTAACATTTCTACCTCCTCTGCCCGCTAGCTACACCACAACTACAAACTTACCATCATGTAGCCCTACTCCCCTGCCAAAGTTCTTTCTACACCTGAAACTCCTCTCTCTGTCCCCAGCTCTCTGTGCTCCTACTCTCTCAATCTCACTCATTCTTCACCCTCGACACCTTTCCGCCTCTCCCTCTCCCAGTCCCCCAGATTCGCACACACCACCATTCTTTCTGAGTTATAGGTCCTGCTACTTCTCCGACAGCAATCCCTTTTTACCAAGTAAAATATGCCACCCAGTACTTCCTATACTTTACTTCTATTATTGCAGTTGGTGCCTTGAGTCATATTTTAAGTATTTGCTCACAAGTCTATTTTTTTCTGAGTCTCCTCGAGGACCAGGCATTACTCAATTCTGCATCTTCAGTACTTCACATATTGCCTAGCTCAGAGCAGGCACTGAGAAATGGTTGGTGGGTGAGTGACTGAAGAGGGGAATGACTCTCTTTTTCATATCCATATTGCAGCTTTTCAAAATCTACATTGCATAAATGAAGGCTAACAAAATTAGGGATGTCCTCATAAATGTGGGGAAAATAGAAGAAAACAGAATTTCACATAGCATGTCAGATGCAGATATATGTATTCTTACATGTGGTCCATCGGCCCCAGAAATGCTATGGGCAAATTCTGATCATTATACCTCAGGAACATTATCACAGAACTGAAGATCAAGGGAAGCACCACTACAATGAGAAAACAAAACAAAACAAAACAACACAAAACCAAAAAACCCCACCATGAGAAGGAACTAAATTAGAAGAGGTGAAAAAACTGGGGCTTTTGTCTGTGAGTTCCATGAGAACCATACCCATGTCTGTCTTGTCACCGCTGAATGCCCAGCCCGGCGCCTGGCGCCTGACCTAAGTGGGTTCTATGGGTACATATTAGGACAAACGACCCCCTCCCAAGATTGGCATGAGGATCCGTGAGTAAGGGATACGGGGGTGTTTGTGAGTTACTGTGTCATAGATGATCCTGTTGTAATCATTACTTCGTATCGGGCTCCATTCATTCTGTCAATGTTTATCAGGTGCCTATTTTGTGCCAGGCACTTGGGCTGGGTTCCAGAGATTCAGCAATGAGCACACTAAGATCCCTGCCCTCGTACTCGTACTGTAGTATGGGAGAGAGACACCAAACAAATACATGATCAATTCCAGGTAGTGATAAATGCCATGAACAGAAGTAAAGCAGGGTGAGTATATAAGGGAATGACAGGGGAAAGAGTGTTTTTCTCTATGGTGGTCAAGAAAGGCTTCATTGGGATAACACTTGCACAGAGTTCTGAATTAAGTGAGGAAATGAGACACTCACTTAAAGAAGATTGGAGAAGAGAGTTCTAAGCAAAGGAAGCAGCAGGTGCAAAGGCCCTGAAGTGGGAGCATTCTTAGCTTTTTAGAGGAACATCAAGGACATCAGCATGGCAAGGCCAGAATGAGTGAAGGAAGAGTAGAAGCCAAGGATGATTTAGATTTTGTAGGGCTTGACTCTGCATGGAAGGATCCCCTCCTTAGGAAAAACGATTAAAAATATGCATACAAAATTAGGTACAGGGCCTTGAAATGGTCTTGTACGTAAGCAGCCCCGAAGCTTAAGTTCATTAGCTTTACAGGGAAACAGCCTCCGGTAGAGGATGCTGGGCTCATAGAGAGAGGCAGAGCCACGTCAGACAGGGCCCCATAGGCCACTGGGAGGACTCCGAATTTCATTTTAAGGGTGGTAGAAAGCCATTTCTTTTGAGCAGGGATTTGAAGTGATCTGATTTATGTTTTACAAGCATCCCTCTGGCACTGTATAAAGATAAGTAGGGTGCCCACAGTGGACTCAGGCCCCAGGGAGACCAGTTAAGAGGTTGTTGTAGTAATTCTGGAGTGAGACCATAGTGGACCAAGACGGTAGCAGGAAGTAGTGTTTGGATTTGAGATATATTTTTAAAGTAGACCCAAAAGGTTTTGTTTAAGTATTTGATGTTGGATAAGAGAAGAACAGTTAAAGATAATTTCAAAATTTTTTACTTGAGCACATAGGTGAATGGAGATGCCTATAACATAGATAGAGAAGAGTAAATGGGAGGGAAATAAACGCTTAGCAAAGTCAGGGTGTGTAAGTGGGTTAACAAGGGCCTCGAGCAGGGTCAGAAAGATGAAACCTCTAGTGTTCACCTGTAGCCACTGGGCAGGGTCTAAACTTCAAGGTCAGCCTTTTGAGGACATTTCGCTCTGGACCTCAGTGGTCCCTGGAACCACCTGGCTATTGCATTCCCTAGACTTCTCCCGGAGCTTTAGCACAGGACACTCAGAGGGCAGCTCTAACCCCATGCACTTTTCATGGTGACTGGAACAGAGTGTGCTGCATATAAAAACTCACTGGATTATGGCATGCATGAATGAATGATTTGATTAATAAAAAATGAATCGCTTGCATGCATACCGTGGCTTCTCAAGGTGTCACTAGAATCCAATAAAGATACGTTGAAATATGATAGCGAATGAGAATTTAGACAGCATGAAATAGGGGTTCCTTTAATGGTTAAAAAAAACCCTTTGATTTTTATAGATCAGAAGCACTTTTATTTAAGAACAAACAAATCAAAAGGTACCTCTGCCCTCAAAAAAAAAAAACACCAAAAAAATCTGTAAGGAGAGAAAAAATACTCAAATTTTATTAAGACTATATTGTACTTTATACTACAACTAAAAAAAAAAAGAATACATTGCCCATGTATTCAATACGAAAAAATGTTAGCCTAAAATAGCAGCACCTTTGTTAGACTGAGTGGTAAAGACACAAAATAATGTGATTTAGAATAGTTGTTGAACAGGACTATTTCTATTCCCTCAGCAAAGCCCCATTAATACCCAGCTCTCCAGGGGATGTGGAAATAACCTGGTTATGTTAACCCAGACTTTGGAATAGTATTGATCCAAGTGGAAATCTGCTTTCCCACCCATCCCTTACATCTTCTTTTCTGGTTTCTCTCACACCCACGTGGAATCACCTGCTCCTCCAGGGATGCTATGAGCTCATCTCTGGACCGATGAACCGACACGCCTGGGGGGTGGCCTGGTTTGGATTTGCCATTCTCTGCTGGACTGTGAGTATTTCTCTGCACTTGATAAGGAGAGAACTTGAGATTGCCCCTGGTTAACCCAACCACACTAGCCAGTCTGGAAACAAAACCTCAGACCTGAGGGCTAGTCAGGAAGCTGCGGGCACCAGGCCAAGGACAGCGGATTCGGTTGGCAGGTGGGGCGTTTATATCCCCTCCAGGGGAAGGGATGTGCCCTACTAGCCAGTTCCCCTAGCTGATGGGGGAGCATTTGTCTGCTGCTCCAGCCCTCTGGATCTCATTAATTCATTATAGTTAGATACCAAAGAAATCTAAGTGGTTAGATATCACTTCCTGGGGAAGCTTGGAGAAAAGAAAATATGCCTGGGCCCTAACCTCTGAGATTCTGATTCAGTGGATCAGGGACCCAGGCATTAAAAAAAAATTTTTTTTCCATATGATTCTGATTTGCTGTCAGGATTAAGAGCCATTATATTGGGGAAGCAATTCTAAACTTTTGGTTTCAGAACCCCTTTACACTCTCAAAAATTATTAAGGACTCCAACAAGCTTTTATTTATGGCGGCTATATCCATTTATATTTACCCTATGGGAAATTAACCCAGAATTTTAAAAAAAAAGTACTTATTAATTCTTTTGAAATAACAATAATAAACTAATTACATGTTAGCATTAACAATATATTTTTGTGGAAAAAGTGACTATTTTCCAAAACAAAAAATAGAAAAGTAGCTTTGTTTTACATTTTTAAAAGTATCTTCAGTGTCTGGTTTTAATAGAAGACAGCTGGGTCCTCATATTTGCTTCTTCACTTAATCTGTTAGAGTATGTTGCTTAGGTTGAAGGATTTGAAGAAAATCCACCCTCACACTGATAGGTAGCTGAAAAAAACCAGGAATGTTTTGATAGCCTTATCGAAAGATAATTGTGAATATTCTTCTTTGGTACTACACAGAACTTGACAACGAGCAGTTTCTTAAAGGTTAGTTGCAATGTGGAATCTAAAACTATGTGAACAAACTTTTCAGACTCTATTATATTAAAATACATTTACATCGGTTTGTCTTACAATTTGCATAAATCTTTTACCCATTCATGATTCTATAACATCATGCATTGGTCATTTGGGAAAATACTGGTTCACTGAGTTATGCTGATCTTCCACATGTTGGCTGAATTCTTTACTCATTACCAAGAAATCACATTCGTTGCTATTGCCACATTGGAAAGGACCTTTATCGTGGGGATGCTATCAACCCACCATGACAGAAACAAGTGGCCTGATTTTTGCTTGAGCGCCCAAATTTATCACTGGCAACAATACTGCCAGTTGTTCTCCTCGAAGAGACAGGCTCACTTTGTAAATTTTGGAGAAAATGTCTGCCAAACATCCAATCTGAATAACTGTAGCTCGTCTATTAATCATTTTTTCAAGTAAAAATCATGTTTCATGAAAAAATGGCTAGTTCAGGGGCGCCTGGGTGGCTCACTCATTAAGCGGCTGCCTTCGGCTCAGGTCATGTTTCCGGGGTCCTGGGATCAAGCCCCGCATCGGTCTCCCTGCTCAGTGGGGAGTCTGCTTCTCCCTCTCCCACTACTTCTAACCACAGCGCCCCCACCCCAGCTCGTGTTCTTACTCTCTCTCAAATAAATAAATAAAATCTTTTTAAAAAGTGGCTAGTTCAGTATACAATCAAACAATCACACAAGTGCTTTTCCTTAAGGCAACCATCAGATTTCAGGATGCAACAAAACTACTTTACGCATACTCTCTGTTGCAAGAATATTAAAAAGATGTGTATTCAGGGGCGCCTGGGTGGCTCAGTTGGTTAAGTGCCCACTTAACCTGATCTCCGCTCAGGTCGTGTGATCTTAGGGTATTGAGATCGAGCCCCCCATGTTGGGCTCCCCACCCCACTCCCGCGCAGGAGCGCACGTGCACTGTCTCTCAAATAAATAAATCTTTTAAAAAAAAAAAGATTTTATTTATTTCTTTGAGAGAAGAACAAAAGAACACAACGGGGGAGAGGGGCAGAGGGAGAAGCAGACTCCCCTCTGAGCAGGGAGCCCGATGCGGGGCTCGATCCCAGGACCCCAGGAACATGACCTGAGTCAAAGGTAGACACTTAACCAACCGAGCCACCCAGATGCCCCAATAAATAAATCTTTCCAAAAAAAAAGATGTATATTCAAAGGTGAACATTTAATAAAACTAGTCATTCTTACTGTTTCATCAAAAACAGTCTCAAAATTCTAAAACTCTAAATCTCTTAAAGTGCCTTTTTTTTTAACTGCAAGTACATAGCAGTGAAGAATACACTGACTCCTACCACAGTTCAATGCCTCTACCTCGAATCCTGCTAAGATGCCAGCATTTTTACCTTCTCCAGCTTTTGCACCATCAGTGCAAATGTGGAAAACAGCGAAAAGGGCAAATAAAGTCTTAATATAATTATGCAAATGGTCTTGACATCAGGCCCACCCACAAGGGTCCCTTGGGTGTTTGTGCACCACACTTTAGGCAATGCTGGGTTCAGGGTGAGAAGCTGAGTGAGGCAGGAAGGGAAAGTGAACTCCTCTGAGAGTTCACGCTCACCCACCCTCAGGAAGTCCCAGGACACCCCACACACACCTCTGTCGTGTCACCGTCACTCCGCTACGATGTATTTGTCTCTGCCAAAAGCCTGGGAACCAGCTGCCCTCTGTATCCCCAGGGCCTAGCAGAGCACGTAGCAGGTGCTTGATAGTTTGTTGAATGAATGGAAAATGGTAACAGTGAAGTTTCTGTTCGTGCAATGCTAGCAGGAACTGTGGGATAATGTTAAAGGCTCTAAACCATCTTAGAACTCCAGACCAGTTGAAACTCTTGACATTTCCACAAGCATCAAATGGACTCTGAATCTAGTAAGTCCCCCTGAAATTCAAAAGAGGGAAGTGAAAGGAACTAAATGTATTGAAGGCCTGCTATGGACAAGACATTATATCCAATACTTTTAGCATTAAATCCCCACAATAGTAGCTAGGTAGGGAGCCAGTCTCCTTGGGTAAGTACCTTACCTTCTCTGTGTCCTTGGTCTCTTCATAGAGTTCTGGAAGCATTCACTGGGGTTGTATGTGTAGCACGCAGAACAGTGTCTGATGTATAGTAAGTTGTCAATAAACACCAGACATTAGTGGTCATAGTATTTCTTTCTCATTCCATCGTCTGACTCTGGGGTAGGTGAAGAATATTATCATTACCTTCCAGATGCAGGGAGGAGTGGTACAGCTGCAACAGAACCAGAACCCAGAAATTCTCACCCCTCGCCCGAGTCAAAAACCTTGAGTTCTGTGGCATTCTTCAGGGGCAGCCATTCTAGCTCACAGTTTCCCAGCATTTCCGGGAAAAGAGGGGGTTGGTGGGAGGAGAGATTCAATGCTAGAAAGCAAGAAACTTGTACCTCCAATTGGTACATACAAGAAATAGGAATCCACTGGAAGGCCATTAGCCCTGATGGGAAGAAGAAAGAATTTCCCCAGGGGGCTGGTTCAGCACAGACGTGAGAGGTGCAACCCCAGCGGACAGGGAAGTCTAGTGCAGATTGGTGCAGGAAAGGGGGAACGGAGACGCTATCGCTGAGTGGCAGGATAGTTAGCTCTGCCCCATGAGGTTTCTTGAGGCAAGATTACTCTTAAAAATTCAGCATCATCTAAGCCTGAGTGAACCTAACATCCTTTTTTCCCCCAAGTATGAGTTGTTTCTAAAACAATTCCTTATTTTTGTTTTCTTCCTTTGTATTCTAGTTTTGGGTTCTCCTGGGTACCATGTTCTACTGGAGCAAAACTGAATATTAAGAACAAAGTGTCACCACCACACCACCTTCCTCCAGTGACTCTGGACCTGGTGCTGCAAGCGAGCTCTCCTAGTAGAGCCCACATCTGCACCCCGCGGGGGCCCTGTGCCTTCCTGCTCAAACTGCCAAGTCAGTTGCTGTGGTGTTTGCTGAGCTCTCAGCCTCTCAAAATCATTCTCAATAGTATTTCAGCCTGGTCTAGGGTTCTGCAACATTCTTACAGCCGGTAGGAAAGGGAGACTTAAGGAAGTCGATAACTACTTCCATCCCTGCTTATTTTTAATTTGGGGGCATAAAGATTTCCACAAGAACCTGTGTTACCACAGCAAGCCAAGTCTGTATTTGGACAGCAAGGTTGCGTGTATTTCTCACCGCTTTCTAAAAGAGACTTGCAAAGGCTTTCCTTCTTCTCAGTCTTGCCCAGGTGAGAGAACTAAGGAAAAGGTTGCTGAGAGAGATCTTTGGCCCTTGTTCTATGGTGGCTCTCAACGACACAGACTCAAACAATTCCCTGAATGCCACCTTAGGACCCTTGTATTCTCCAGGACAATGCCCAAACTTGAGTTAATAGTGGAACTTCCTCTCAGACATGGCAGGGTGACATGCGTGTAGTAAGCTCAGTTCTCCCATTAATTTCTTTTACAGTCAAAATATTTCTCTTCTGAACTATGTTTCCATTTGTGGTCCTGAAAGAAATTCTTATAATTCAGCATTTGTCTAAGTCTCATAAATAAAGAGGGCTTTTAAATATGTTCATTTTCTTTTGTTTTTACCAGTGGCATAACTGGTCACATACAAGTGTAACAAAATGAGTGTTCCAACAGAAGAGCCTTCTAGGCTCATGGGAATTACCGTTTAGGAGATGGAAAATGCAACTGGGCGAGGTTTCCTGCCGGATGCCCTGTAACCTTGCTGTACAGTTAGATGGTTGGAACTTCTAAATTTACTTTTACTTTTCACTCCTGCTGCACTTAGCCAGGAGTGGTGATGGAGCTCTGGCTCCTCAATCCTTTTCCTCCTGCAATGGAAGCATCTCGAACTTCCAGCTGTGAACTACGTCCCCTATGAAGGAAATGTAGGTTTTCTTCAGGGTCCTACTCACAGCCAACTCAGTCCCAAGGAGTGCCCCAATCCCACACCCTGGCACCCTGGTGAGTTAGGCTGAGCCCCGGGGTTGGGAGGGACAAGGGAGGAGTGGGGTGGGGGCACACTTGCTGGTAAAGCTGGGACAGCAAGCAGCCTGATCCCTAATTCCCAGCACAGGGGGGCAAAGGCTCCTGTCCTGACTCCCAACCAGCTTGCCCCACCCGTGCCTCACCTTGTGTCTCCCGGAGAGTGCTTCGGGTGTCAGGATAAATGACCCCTGCACTTAGCTGAGAAGGTTCTCTCCATGGTCTTCGAGAAGAAAGAAAGAGAGGGAAGCAGATTACTCTGGGCCAGGCTTTGAAATGCCTCCCATGTGTTCTGATGCCTTTTTCTTCCACTGCTAACCAGGTTTTCCAGGGCCTCATGTTCTCTGCTGGCTGAGCTAAGTCTGCCTCAGATCCACTTCTGACTTCCCCTCTAGGGCTTTGTGCATGCCCCAAGACTCTGTCTACCCACAAAATTCCATTCTCCTTGTGATTTGATCTCAGCTAGGTTAAGGGAAAGGTTTTGTGCAGACTAATTCATACTAAGGGGTGAGGGACAACTAGTTTCCACTCTCTTAATCTTCCCTGTGGATTTTTCATTGATAACTAAATTGATCTCTCGTTAGTGGAATCCAAGGCAGCAGTGGGAGCAGGAAGCGCTATTGTGGGGCAAGATGGCCCTCCTGCTGCTCTCTACATCTTACCTCCTGCCTTCCCTACCAAGACGTACCTAGAAAGAACACAGGCCTTTAGTCAGTGCCCCTTGTCCCCTCTCCACCTAGATTCCTAGTGGAGCCTCAGCCTCATCTTCAGAGAAGGTGCAAATTCCACTATAAATATGGACAGGTTTTTGTTACCCCAAAACCAAATAAGGCCCTGAACTCAGGTACCCACTATGTCCAGGCCACCAACACTTGAGGAGGACATACCTTTCAGCTGAGACAAACCCAGGCCTGAGGACTCCTCTGCAGAGAGTCAGGCCATTCAGAACCCCTGTGCTTTCTGCTCCAGAGGTCTTCAGTTTAACCTCAGAGCAATTCCCACTCTGCCTGGTTCCTGCTTCCATCCCTCTCCACCTTCCATGAAATCCCAGCCTTCCCCCTTCTTCCTTCTGGCTTCTGGGACTGGAAGTGGGCCTCACAGTGGGACTCAAACCACCATTCAGGGTGCGGCCCAGGTCCAGCCTCACCAAGGCCACCTCCAGCCCCACTAGGCCAGGGAATGGAAGGAGAGCAGGGGCATCTGGCTCTTGGGAGCTGGCAGGTTGCTGGGCTCAAGATCCACCCAGACAAAACCATCCTGAGAAAATGCCACTTCTCCAACAGACCATGGGCCTGCTTATCAGGTACACAAAGAACAATTACTATCTAACACCAAAAATGAGTCAGGCTAACTCTGGGGTAGGTTTTACTTGGTTGCAATGCCAGATGGGTCATCATGGTCTCTTGGTTGGCTGATTCCTCCCAGGTGGCCACTCAGGCTCCTGGTGGGCTGTGTACGGGGAATGTTGGAAAGCCTACTGCTCAGGGGCACCTGGGTGGCTCAGTTAGGCAACTGGCTCTTGGTTTCAGCTTGGGTGGTGATCTTGGGGTCCTGGGATTGAGGCCCCTCTGGGCTCAGTTGGGGAGGGGAGTCTGCTCTCTTCCTCTCCACCCCTAAAAATAAACACATAAATCGGGCGCCTGGGTGGCTCAGTTGGTTAAGCGACTGCCTTCGGCTCAGGTCATGATCCTGGAGTCCCGGGATCGAGTCCCGCATCGGGCTCCCTGCTCGGCAGGGAGTCTGCTTCTCCCTCTGACCCTCCTCCCTCTCATGCTCTCTGTCTCTCATTCTCTCTGTCTCAAATAAATAAATAAAATCTTTAAAAAAAATAAAATAAAATAAACACATAAATCTTGAAAGAAAGAAAAAAAGAAAGAGAGAGAAAGAAGCAAGCAAGAAGGAAGAAGAAAGAAAGAAAGAAAGAAAGAAAGAAAGAAAGAAAGAAAGAAAGAGAAAGAAAGAAAGAAAGAAAAAGAAAAGAAAGAGAAAGAAAGAAGAAAGCCAGCTTAATTCTCAGGTTTGTAAGCCCAAAACTTTTTTTCCTAAATGAGCTGGAATACACAGAAACTGCTCCAATTCTAAGCGGCTGATCAGGTACTTCCTGGCTACTGATAAAGAAAAGAAAGAACAGATAATGATTGATTTTGAAAATCCAATCGCCTCTCAAACCTCCACCCCACCCCCAGCCCCACCCATCCCCCACAAGCCAGGTGGCAGCTGAGGATCTGGAAACTCAGCTGCTTTCTTATCTCTATTGATTGAACAAGTATTTTTCTCCTCCTGTATCTAATATTTCCTTTCCTTTGTCTTTTCTGCTTCACTACACCCAGATCCTTATCACCTTCAATGCATGAGGCTGAATCAAAAAAGAAACCCAGCGAAGGGTAGTTGTAAGGTACAGAGTTTGCTTTCATGTGTGACATTTTTAGAAGGCTTGAGTGGCCCTGTCTAATGAGGAGATGCACAAACATCTTGGGAAAAGGCAGCATTGCTGAGAAATGCATAGTCCCCAGACCCTCTTCCAAGCAACCTTCCGCCCAGTGCCCAGCCAACTCCCAATACACACACACACACACACACTCTGAATTTTGACAGAGAAAAAAAAGCCAAATTCTGGGGTTAAAGAGAAAGGGTGCCATCATGCCCTACTTTCTAGTGGCCTCCACCCTGAGTTCCTGCTAAAAAAGAAAACAGAGCAGCCCCCAACATTCAGAAACTAGGCTGCACTCTTAGATGTAAACAATCCTACCGGATGTAAACAATCTCACAGAACACCAAACTCAGATTAAGGTCATGCAAAATGAGGCAAAGTCAGTCCACTTCCTAAATTTGTCCAAGCACAAATATAAGGTCACTGTGCCACCTGTGAAATACCAAACATACCCTCTTTTGGCTAAAATAAGTGACTGCCATGAGTTTACCAATTACAGCTCTATCCTCCTGCTAGTCCAGATGAATAAAATGTATTCACACTCAGAATTGTCTCCGCTTTCCGACAATGTCCAATGTAGAGCACACCCTGCTTGCTTAGGCCCTCCCCAAACGACCCAACAGAAACCCAAATGCTAGAATTCCCTTTTCCTAAGACACCTCATGGTTCCCTATGGTGTGTTCTCTCTCACTGGGAGTCATAATCCCAACTTATTTAATTGCAGATGTGTTCCCGGGGGGGGGGGGCTTTGAAGGGCATAGCCCCTCTCCAAATAACTGCCCATCCCTATTTCCTCTCTTGGTGTATTTGTTGGCTGGTTAAGAACATGAGCTCTGGAGTCAAATATCTGGCTCCAAATCCCAGCTCTGCAGGACTTTGGCAATATACTTAGCTTCTTGGAATCTGCTTCAGGAAAACAGGTCTATCCTCACAGGGGACTGGGAGGGTTCAGTAAGATATGTCAAGTGCATCAGAATGGAAAGAGGCTATGAGACACCAATAAGGAGTTATATACTATAAGTCTAGAGTGAAGGACTCTGCTTGGCCCATAATCTTTGGAAACATGCCAACTGTCATGTTGCTGCAATTTATTACAGTAAGCTTGATGACCAAATATACTGGTCCAGATTGACTGGCCCTCAAACAATAACTGAGTAATAGCTTTTCAGCAAAACTTCTACTCCATAGAAGAATGTACTAGGGTCATCAAAATAAGACATTTTAACGGATACATCTCATGTTCTGTGTATTATTTCTAGAGTCCTCGCTACAAATGAGATCTCTGCCCTTGCTGGTCTCACAGAGAAATATCATCTCCTGACGATGTGATATTCAGGATGGGGGGACATGAGGTATTGGAGAGAGACTCAGTCCAAGACTTACCTCTTCCTTTTACCAACTTTGATAAGTCATGTAACTTGAAACTGTTTTTTCTTTGTAGTACATACATACCTATAGGGTTATTGGAAAGTAAAAAAAACTCATACACACACAGGTAATTTGGCTAATGCAGAGCAAGCACTCAATTATTGTTATGACACACCCTTCACCAATCTCTCTTCTAAGGCCTGAAATCACACACACACACACACACACACACACACACACACACACACACACGGTTCAATTTTGAGTTTTCAGCTTCAATAGCCATCAGTGGAACAATGGAGGCTTTGCCTGTACAGTCCTGTTCCCTGGGGGTGGGACTCTCAGCCACTCCTTTGTGAGTATCTCTGAGACCTATCGGACCCTCTCAGCAGGTGTAAGGTGGTCTTCAGTGTACTTAACCCCAGTGAGGGCGGCAACAGCTTAAATATCTAAGGTACGAAGGGATGGACTTAAAGTATGGAATGTGATTGGCAAAAAAGTACTTATGAAATATATCTGAATATGCTCCATCTAGGAGGATGTGTTAATGGCTTTGCACAGCAACTGTATATATGTACAAAACATGGAGAAAGTGGAGGTTTTGAGTCTAGCAGAAAATATCTTTCATCTCTCCCAAGAGCCCATCCACAGAGCACTTGGGGCCCTTGGGACACCTGTCCAATAGGGGCTTCAGTGAAAGTCAAGGGGCTAGGGGCAGAAAAGCCAGGGAAGGAGTCTGGAAAAAAGTTCCAAGACCAGATGAGATTGGAACATACCTTTTAGATCCCAGAAGATACCAAACTTCTGTAGGAGCTAGAACAGGGATACAGATTCAGGAAACCTACCTTTAAAAATCAAAGAAGCCCCCACCTCAAAAAAAAATAAAAAATTAAAAAATGAGAGAAGCAACGATGATGGCAAAATGATGTCATGGTCTTGAAGTCAGAAGACCGGAGTCTGTACCCCGACTCTGCCATTTACTAGCTGTGAGATTTCTGGCAAGGCCCCCACTGTTCAAAACCTCTACTTCCTCATCTACCCTACTAAACTCAAGAGTCAACAGGACCAATAAAGTGTGTGTAAAAACATCACAAACCATACAGCACGGTAAAACTGAGTGTCAGGGTGAGAAAAAATCAATAAAAACATGTAAAGTAGCACGCTGTTCACGTATTTGTGATGTCCAAATAGATCGCGCTCCTACAATCCTTAACAATTACAGGAGACCTGTCTACAAAGCTCAAAAACTTTGGCCTCTTCGTAGCAGCTGACAATGAAAACACACAGGGCAGGAACACTTGGTTCCTTTGAGGCCAAACTCCTCTGCCCAGCCGAGAATGGAAGCAGGAGGGCGGGAGCAAAGAGCAAAGGTCTTAAAAAATTCTCTTCCATCCTGGGAAGTTTCACGATGAGTCACTGA